CTGGCACTGATCTGTGATAGGTGTGTTAGCGCATTAGGTCCCACCCCCTATGGGCGGGTTTGAAAGAGTGGGAACAAGTGCTTGTAGTTTTAATAGAAATACCCCCCCTCTTACACTTCCTCCTACTATGACGTAAAACGACGATTTTTGCGTCATTGTAGGACGAAGTGTAAAAGGTAAATACGGATTTCTCCCATCTCAGGGGAAAATGAGAGAGTGTTGCACAACCATTCAAAAGTATGACTGGGTTTCTAACAATGCAAAGCTTAATGCAAATGGGTGGAGTGTTCCTTTAAGTGCGGGATTAGCGGTAACCATGACGGCGCTGACACGTTTGTCGGACCGCCACGTGGAAATTGTGCTGCAAAGATGGCGGAAACCGAGGGTAGAACAGGTGTGGGCAAGACGGAGAGAAAGAGGGAGACCGCACTGAGGGAGGAGAATAGAGGTTAGAGAGAATAATGGGAGGGTACTAATGAATATAATGAGTAAGCGCTAAAAAAAGCAACGATAAATAGGTCAAAATATAATAGAACAACGCAGTCTATACACGGTTGCGTGGATGTATGACATCGTCCCGGTTGTGCGCTTTGTCCAATTTAGTGCACACGTGTCGCTGTCACTGAGTTTGTGTTGTTTTTTTTCGCATAACGTGTTCCTAGAATGCAGGGGTGTGTGTGTGTGTGTGTGTGTGTGTGTGTGTGTGTGTGTGTGTGTGTGTGTGTGTGTGTGTGTGTGTGTGTGTGTGTGTGTGTGTGTGTGTGTGTGTGTGTGTGTGTGACAACAATACAGAGTAGGCCAACCAGTTTTTTTTTATGACTTAGTTATTTTTTAAATGGCATGCTGAGAAAGCAAATATGTGATCTTCCCGGTTTTCCAAGTTTTTCAAGGAGCAGGTAGGGGTTAGACAGTACAGAGACAGGTCATTAAGGAGCAGGTAGGGGTTAGACAGTGAATACAGAGACAGGTCATTAAGGAGCAAGAGAGAGAGAGAGAGAGAATGATGTATGAACTGCATCTGTGTGTGTGAGTGAGAGAAAAAAACAAAGATTGGGGTTTCTCTCTCTCTCCCCCCCTCCCTCCCTCCCTCCCCTCCCCCCTCCCTTCTTCCTGGGGCAGTTTCTGCTAGGAATGCATTCTCCATTCAACTCCTCTAAATAAACATGGTTTCTAAAAAGAACAGGGTGGGTGGGGTGCAGCTTCCCCTGGCCCCCAGATTGGCATCAAACACCGGGTAGATAACACAAAGCGAGAGGCCCCCCCCCACCCCCCCAACCCCCCTCCCCGTGGGCTGAGGGCCGAAGCAGGGTCCCCCACTCTGATAAGGCTGAAATTGACTGGTTGCCAGAAATACAAGAATGTCTGCTGTGTGTGTGTGTGTGTGTGTGTGTGTGTGTGTGTGTGTGTGTGTGTGTGTGTGTGTGTGTGTGTGTGTGTGTGTGTGTGTGTGTGTGTGTGTGTGTGTGTGTGTGTGTGTGTGTGAGACTTAATGTAATGCATTCAAAAGAAATTGCCCCAGGAATGTTTCTACCAGAGAGGGAGAGGAGAGGAGAGAGAGAGAGACACCGGGAGAATTTTATAGTTTTAATGTATTTCAAAGAAAACGCCCCTGGATCTTTTTTTTAAACATTTTTTTCTTACATTTGTGAGAGAGAGAGAGAGACGGAGAGAACGAGAGAGACGGAGAAAGAGAAAGCGGGTTAATGTGCTATGCGCTAGCAGCATGTAGCTATGACACACCAGTGCCGGTGGCTAGGGGTGTGACCAGGGGGGAGGGGGGGGGGGTCGGGGGTTTGGGGGCGGCGCCGCGCTTTCTCTAATCTAGAAATAGAAACGTTCAACGCACACACGATTTTGACCTGCAGAGAAAAATACAGAAGAAGTCCCGGCCTAGGGGCGCCTTCACAGCAGGGACCCGGGGCCCCCGGAGCCGAGGACACTTGGCCCCTTAAAGTCCCTAACCCTAACCCTAACCCTGGTCCGATCGGTGTGAAGTCTCATCTTCTGAACGGCGCGGCCGTAGCGGAGGACGTAGGAAGGCGAGAGGCGAGAGGGTCGTTCTTGACACCGTCTCCAAACCATCGATAGTAGTAGGCAACCGCATGAAGGACCGGTCGACTCCATCGCTTGGGCTCAGGATTTTGCCCACACACATTAATCATTGTCCTTGTTTTTGTCTTTATGTCCCCTGTATGTTATGTCTTCTGTATTTCATTCGTGTGTAACTTTTAGTAAAGGCCTAACCAGGGACAGGGGTTGCAAATTAGTCTTGACTAGAAACCTGTATGCATGCCTGCATGGCATCTATTTTATATTGTATATGAAACAATGTACAGTACAATGTATTTGTGCCTGCTCAATAAACTTCTAATAAATTTAAAAAAAAATAATAATAATAATAATAAATATTGGCGCACTTTCCTACGCTGGAGCATAAACCGTATATATAAACAATTGTTGCGTAGTCGAGGATGCAAGTGTACACCGCTTTTTTCCTCTTCGTCTTTGTGTTCATCGGCGGCTCGCTAACCAACTCGCTGCATACCGCCACCTGCTGTGTCAGAGACGCGTGTGTGTAATATGAAAGCTTTTTTTTTGTTGTTGTCGCCGCCGCCTTTGATGATCTTTAGTGTTTCACGTTTGAATGTTTCAGGCTTTTTTTTAAAATTATTGTTATTTAAATGTATGACGTACAACACTCTCCACCCCATAATAGCAGAACTGTGAAATAACTAGTGATGGGCTGTTATCGGCGTTACCGCGCTGCGATAATGCGAGGCTCTTATCGGCGATAATATTTTTGTCGCCGATATAACGCGGAACCGTAATCCTCCGGTAGCACCCCCCCCCCTCCCCCCACAATCGCGCGGACCTACTTTTAGTAATTATTTTGGCAATATAAGTCATCATTTGGGTAGCAAACACATATTATGGACACCTTCAACATCATTCAAAGGAGCCACTTTAATCTAGATTAACCTAGATTAATATCAAGATCACCATCAGATTAATCTAGATTAAAGAATTTAATCTATGCCCATCTCTAGAAATAACAAAACTAAATTGCATAGCGATTGCGTAAACTGTCACTTGGTGCTAGCGAGGTAGCTCCTGCTAGCTCTCCCTGTAGTGCACTGTTGCAGGATGCTAAGTGTTGTGTAGTGCAACAGATATATCACATTCAGTGAAGGACCATTTGCTTTTTATAACCTGTTAAATTGTCCTGCTGCATTTAATCGCTTCAGTGTGGAGCTATCACAGATTTAGACAGACGAATTGCCCTTCACTTTGAAATAAGCAAATTGACTTACTGTAGAAAAATAGTGATATGTATTGGTGTTGAATTCAACATACATTTTCCAAGCAACGACTAAACCGTAGAGATGCTGGTTCTGATATTCTTGAATATTATTATTATTATTATCGTTATTATTTTTTAGAGTTGTTGGTATTATGTGTAAGGGTTACATGAAGCTGTCGATTTAAGACCTTTCATCTCACACACACCGGCTCTGTTTGGAATCGCATACTAACGTTCATACGGCAGTATGACGGCAAATTGAGTATATGCACATAGTATGTGGAGTTTGTGTGCGCGAGAAATGCCCGGATGTACACTAGATTAGCAAGAATTTCTGGGTATGCATGGATTGGTACTGGATTCAGACTGCGCAGTGGCGGACTGCGAGGTCGGCGGTCCTGGCACCAGCCAGCAACAGCGCGCGTACAACGGCTCTCCTCACATCTCCGAAAAACACCGCAGCCAATTTCCAAACAGGCGCCATTCAGGTAAACTGACCACGAATCTACAGGGTGACTTCATCCACTGGAAAAAAAATATCACAACTCAATAAAGTTACATATAAACAGCTTTTAGCCTGCTTTTAAATCCCCGCTATCGCTGCGGGTTGGTGCGAAATGCATTCTGGGATACTTGGCTGAATACTTCAGTAGGAACGGTCTGCTGGTACCGCATACTCCATCGTTTACTTCATTTCCACACCAGACTAAAGACTCAATTAAACAATTTCGATCACAATTTCGAGGCCGTTCGGCGGCGCCGCCCCGCTTTCACTTCACGCCACTGTCCTATTTCACAGCGTCGCCGTGCGTCAAGTGCCGCCGAAAAGGCGCTTTTTTTTTTTTCTTTTTGTTTTCCTTCTGCTCCGGAGACGACTATATTCCTGTTGACGCGCCACTTCCCATGAGTGCTAGGGGCGGCACTTGTGTCATAGACGCGCCGCGGCGGAGGTGTGTTTTGCACTTGATATTTAAATAAAAATAGGCTATACATCATGATTTATTGGGAGAAAGAAACTATATGTAAAATCAGACATTCAGCGCCGCCTATCGCCCGAATGGCAGTCGAGTCAGACTCCTTCGATCGAATCGTCGAATAGTGGACTACTCGGGGTCACCCCTACACAATGGGTTGAGATATCTGATGTACCCCATGGGGGGGGGGGGGGGGGGTTGTATACAGTAGTAGTGCTCCCTGTTGTCAAATGTGGTTTTGCTGTATGTCTTTATGCTTTAAACCCCACACAGCAGGGAGAGCCCCAAACTAAAGTGTACTACCGTGTCATGCAGTGAGCGGCTAAATCTATGATATGAGTGATTTCTGACAGAACTACGGTAATGGAATAGTTGGTGTGACTATAGCAGTATTATTTTTAACACACATTAAGGTCGGTTGTAAGGAACTGTAGTGTGGGTCGACTTAGCTTAATAGGAAGCAGGAGTCGCATGCTAACGTGTGGTGTCGGCGCGCGCTTATTGAGTTAGCATGACACGTGCATTTAAAAATGTGTGTGCACGCGTGTGCGCACACACACACACACACACTCAAAAGCATAGCCTATAGCTAAGCCAAAGGGAAATCAAGTGGGAGTTTATTCTGTTCTGTATGTTTGAATCCTCTTATAGTAATATGTGCCGTTTAGTTGATGCGTTTATCCATTGCCTTAGGATACGGCGTGTGTACACATCCCTATCTCAGGTGGCCCCGGTGGGAATCGAACCCCCGAACCATGGCAGTGTCAATGCCCATATTCTACTAACAGAGCTACATGGGAGCACATTGTGAGCGGCGCTGGGTAAAGAAAAGTCTCCTCGAATCTTAAAATGATCTCTCACCTCTAGAGGAGAGTAACGTGTTTGGGGAAAATGATGCGGTGTCATTTAAACCCGTGAAAACAACAACAACAAATGGCGCCCGTGAGTCTCGTTTCAAACCGTAATCATAATGATAATAGCGGTTGTCTCAGCCCATTCAGACATGAGGTAAGAAGAGTGTCCTGGGTGGAGCCGAGGGCCCAATCATGTGTTGTTGTGAAAGCATCAATCTGGTGTAGTCTCTGTTTTGCGGCGGTACCATACAGGAACAAAACAGGCTGAAACTCTTTGACATCGTTATACTGTAAAACGTCTAACATTTATTAAGTATTCATTACAGGGTTTTGTTTCTCCGATATGTGTAATATTGTACTTTATCGTTATTTGTAATTTGTCACTGGCCAGTGTGCTATTTTCCTACGTTACCCAGAATGATTTTGCAAACCCCCCCTCTCAACATCATTCACAACATTTTGTGAATTGTACATTTATAAATTGCATAAATAGGTCAAATGTATTATAACAAGATATGTTACAGGCCTATTGTTCGTTGTGAACACTAGCGAGACATTTGGCAGCTAGCTGTGATGCAGTGTGCGATTTTCGAGGAAAAAAAGGGAAATCCAATGAATCTCTGCCCAACCGGTCCGGGACCGCGTCTCCATACCCACATGCGTTGGCCGTATCCGGGCGGCCAGAACAGAACAAATCGGCCGGGTTCATTTTCTGTGATTCAACGTCATTCATCTGGCAGTACTGCGAGTGGGCTTGGTGGTTTTTGGGCGGTACCAGCCGCTTGGGTCGGCCTCCTTTTGGAGGATTGAAAGTCTTGTAGACGCACAGCGGCGGCCCGCGATGGCGTCCGCTCGTCGGTTACCGTGGTGACGATCCTTTCAGCTTCTCTGCTGCTTCGTGACCCCAAACCGCTTGTCCCCCCCCCGTTTCAGACCCCAAGATGTGGAAACACAGTTGGTAACCGACACAGATGCAGCGTTGTCTTCTGTGATGTTATAGTAGCCTGTTGTTTTGGCTTGTTCTGACCGTGTGTGTTTTTGTACCCTCGGCGCCGTTATCGATCGTCGGATCGAAACATGTGTTGTTTTTTTCCTGCGTAGATCCGGTGGACAAGATCTTTCAGCAGATGTTTGTGTGTTTTTCTGCTCGCGTTCCCGCGGGAATAATCCTTGCCATATCGCCGAATTATTCCAGCTCTGCGGATCGTTAAAACGCACTTGTTGCTGTTATCCTTTTTTTTTTAGCATATCTATCCGAGGGATCGGCTCTTCTTCCACCAAAACCCAAACGTTCAACTGGTTTGGATTGATTTTGGTGCGATACTCTGTATTTAAAGATTTTCCTCTTTCCAGCTCCAAACTGTTTTTTTTATTTTTTTATCCAGATGTTTAAAAAAAAAAAAAAAAAATGTTTTATCCTGCTCTCAAATCCACCCAAATCCTGTGCGTGGCGTTGCGTGGGCGTTGCTTGGCCTCCTAGCAGCCCTGCTACCCTGTAGCACCGGTCTTCAGTCTTTGAAGAAAGTAGGAAATCAAATCTCTCTGGGGGATGCTTCGGCGCCTCTCTCTCTCTCCAACTCTCCCACGTTTGAGAACCTTCCACCCGACTGTTAACAAATTCAGCCAGCGAAGCGTCCCGGTTATTCCCGCAGAATCCTAAAAAGGGCTTTTAACGACTTCCCTTTATCCATGTTTGTCCACCCCCCCCCCCCCCCCCCCCCCCCCCCCCCCCCTCTCCCTCACCCAAACCCCGCAAACGCTTTATCAACCTACTATACGCGCATTTAAGTGAGTCGACATGCAGGGAGTACAGATGCATGTCGTTTAGGAGAAGAGGGTTTAAGACACTGCGGACACTGGGGAGTGTAACCCACAACCTTTCAACACCCTGGCCGCTAAGTTTCGAGTCGCTTGGCAGACTCGTCTCATCAAAAGCGACATGCAGTGAAGACGGATACACGACATTTAGGAGCTAGGGGTTGTGAGACCTCTTGCTCAAGGATGCGGTGGCGTGTGTGTGTGTGTGTGTGTGTGTGTGTGTGTGTGGTGGATCCTGGTTTGGTTTATCCCGGGTGCCACGATTGCCCCCCCCACCCCCACCCGGCCCCCCAGAGTCCGATTAGTCTGACCCGGGGGGGCAGGTGAGGCTGTAAACCAGCCATCAACCACACACACACTCCATGATGATGCCTACAGGCTGGGCTGCGGACACTCGGGAGTGTAACCCAGAACCAGAACCTTTTGGCTTGGATCCTAAGTAGTGATGTAACCACTAGGCTATATCACTATTTAGCCATGGAGCAGACGCTTTCATCCAATACATGTCATTTTGGAAGCAGGTGGCGGTTAGGGGCATCTTGCTCGGTAGACGCGGATGTCAGGAATCGAACCCCTGAACCATTTCGGCTGGGAGTCGAACACCAGAACCATATCCAGTTATTTAGCGGACACTTCCGTCGCAAGTGACTTAGGGGTGAGGGCTACAGATGTTGGGGATCGAAACCCAGGAAGCTTTTCTTCTCTGCCTCACCACCACTACGGCTCTCTCTCTCTCTCTCTCTCTCTGTCTCTCTCGCTCTCCCCCCCCCCCCCCCCACACACAGCGTCCAGCGGGCAGCGCTGGCCGTCCTGGAGAACTACTACAGGGACTTCCCCATCCACAACCCCGCCCTGCTTACCGCCTCCAAGTCCAGGGCTGCCAAGCACCTGGCCGGCCTCAAGGTCTACAACGTGGATGGTGAGTGCCCAGCAGCCGACGGTGAGTTGTGGACCACTCTTTTACTTTTACCCCCCTTGAGTGTGTTGTTGTTGTTGTTGTGGTTGTTGTTGTTGCGATACTCTGTTTTTTTAGTGTTGGTTGGTGGGACCTTTTTTTTTTTTTACTTAAAGGGAACCTTGCTTGGCTATTTTCGGATATAACAGATTTGTGAAAATCACGGCTCCGTGAAAAATCCCGGGAAAAGTCGGACCACTGGCATCTGGTCCCAAATCCCGGGCGTCAATGGTGCCACATTTCCAGGGTTTTGTTTTTCATGAACCGGTCCACTTTTTTTGTATCTATTAGAAAATAGCCGAGCTTGAGTTGAGATAATCTCTGATGACGAAATGAGTTGACCCGAGGGATAACCGCAGCACTCCCTACCTTGCTCCCTGCTTTGCCTAACATTGCAAGTATTAATTCATATTCATGACTAACCTTACACATTGTAACGGGCGATGACAACCCAAGAGTACGTCCATATATGGTTCTTCCTCTTCGGGTTGATTGGTCCCCCAGGTCATCATCAATAATCAATCCCAGGACCCTAACCCCTGCTTCTCTCCTGTTGTCTCTTGTGTGCGGTGGCGTTGCTAACCCTCTCAAGAAGCTTTTAAAGCTAAATTGAAAGCCTACCTTTTGGACAGTAAGTAACGCTGCGCTAACCGCTAGCTAGATAGGCTACTGCATCCAGAATGCCGGCACCACCCCCCCATTCCTCCGCACAAAATCACCTCTATTCACAAACACCTTAAAGGGGTGGTTCGGGATTTTGGACGTAGGACCTCATTTCCAAGTCGGCCAGTGTGTTATTTATCACTGGAGACGTTTTCAACAAATGTCATGCTGTCCTTCTAGATGCACAGTTCGCTGGTGCTAAGCTAGCGCAAGTCAACGGTGCCGACTAGCCTGCCAATAAAAACAGTCTAACCCACTCCACAGTACACCCAAGGCAAATCAACTATAACGCCAGACTATCGGTGTAAATTAGGGCTGGACCCGAATATTCGACTATTCGGATATTCGTTCGTTGGGTAGGTATTCGGTTTTCAATTTTGGGATTCGGATATTCGTTTTTTTTTTTTTTTTTTTTTTTTTTTTTTTTTTTTTTCTAAATGTAGGCTATCACTAAAGGCGAACCGCAAAATACATTTTGTCAGCACATTCTTGTACTATATTTATACTTGACTGTTAAGATGTGGAAATATATACCATCTCAGCTTGGGCGCGTGACATCACTCACAGCAGTGAACGTCAGGCTTCAGTTTGTAGTGTTTGTAGCGCACCGCGGACCTACGACCGTATTATGACAGTCCTGGATTGGCCCAATAATCTGGACCGGCCCAAAAATAATAATACACAAAATAAAAAAATACAAAATAATCAGCCTGAAATCGTCCGGCCGAACCTCCCTATGGCAGCCCGTCCCTGGTTATAGGCCTATGTATGCGGCGCTCGTAAAAGCCGAACAATGCGCTCTTAAAGGTTTGGAGATTAAACAAGACTAAGTCTGTATTCCAATTACAATAAGTAGCCTACTTATCGGCCAACAATAATCAAACAAGGCAGTAAAAGTGGGCATTAAACTGTATAACTGTTTTGAAAAAAGGGAAAAAGGCTGACATGTGCCCATACAATATGCAGCCGGCGCTCGGAAAAGGCTCGCGACAAAAAGATGAGCCACACATTTAGAAACAATTGCATGAACTATCTAAAAGCAATACCTTAGTCAGAAAACATATATGAGGCTGAACGTTTTGTTAAAATGTCAGTTATGGAAGTATTTAAAATGTTGGAGCGGCTGGCTTGACCACGCGAAACCGAGAGACGGCTGTCTTGACCGCAGTACGCGATCGGTCATTAATCAATAATCGTATTTAACCGTATAACTGCACACAACTTTATTTAACAGCAAGCAAATGGAAAACACGTGTTGGTATTTTGGTGTCCGGTGCGTGTGGACGTGCGCGGCTCCTCCTGCGGAGCGGTTCATGTTAATAGCGGAGTCCGGGAGGGTTCACCTTCACGGCGTAGTTACGAGGGATGTGCGACTATCGTCTTAAAAATACTAAAGTGTTTTTTAAAGTTAGAAAGATATTAGATATTCAACCGATATTCACGCTCCGAATTACAGCGATCAGACACGGGGAACTAAAGCCGCGATCACCGCACCGCTTCAAGACTCACAGT